GGTAGCCCAGGAGAGGGTAAGCCACCCTAAGCCCCAGTCAAACCCGGATCAAAAAATGGACCCTCGAGTGCTCGTGGCCAGCCAAAGGCCTTGGAGCCAAAAATTACTCGGGAACAGCGCGTTTTTCTTTGTCTGGCCTTGCTAAATCGTGGTTGAAGCCAAAAATGAAGCCCAGTCAAACCCGGATCAAAAAATGGACCCTCGAGTGCTCGTGGCCAGCCAAATGCCTGGAGCCAAAAATTACTCGGGAACAGCGCGTTTTTCCTTGTCTGGCCTTGCTAAATGGCTTCTCTGAAGCCACCCTAAGCCCCAGTCAAACCCGGATCAAAAAATGGACCCTCGAGTGCTCGTGGCCAGCCAAATGCCTGGAGCCAAAAATTACTCGGGAACAGCACGTTTTTCTTTGTCTGGCCTTGCTAAATCGTGCTTGGGGCCAAAAATTACTCCAAAACAGTGCGTTTCTTTGTGTGTGGTCTCTTTAAGTGCGTTTTTCTTTGTCTGGCCTTTCTAAATCGTGCTTGGAGCCAAAAATTACTCCAAAACAAGGCGTTTTTCTGTGTGGAGTACCCCACAGGAGGGGGTAAGCCCCCCTAAGCCACCCAAAGGCCTTAGCAAGCCGACTTTCTAGTCTTACCTAGAAGTAAATGGTAATTATGGAACATAATTACAGCCATTTACTGTGTAAGTGCATGGTCTTTTGTTTCTCACATTTTCTGTAATCTCTTTACCAGACACTATTATCAATATTAGCGACGCTTAAGAACTTAAGCGTCCTACAGATGCTTTGGGTGGCATCCTGGGGTGGGAGAAAGTAGAGCTCCATGTACATGACGGAACTCTTTTGCGCTGAAGGTTTCGGACGTCCGTCTCTCTTTCCATACACTACGCATGTTAAATCGACAAGCCCTAAACCCTAAACCCTAAACCCTAAACCCTAAACCCTAAACCCTAAACCCTAAACCCTAAACCCTAAACCCTAAACCCTAAACCCTAAACCCTAAACCCTAACACCAAAATGCCTTGTTTACTTAATTGTAAGGGGTTTGTTTGTTGCTACACACTAAACACTGAAGCCCGAAACAAACAGCCTGAACCTTAAACCCTAAACCCGAAACTGGGGCACCAGGCTCTCGATCGTGGTCATGTTGTCATCTTCCTCAGCTGCACCCCCCCCCCCCCCCCCCGCTAAACCCTAAACCTCTTAACCCTGAAACCATCTTCCCTCTTGACCCCTAAACCTTAAGAACCCCTTAAACCTAAACCCTAAACCCAAAAATCTGGGTTTTATTGGTTTTCTACTCCTTTTAAACCCGGTACACACCAACAAGCATCAAGTCTGCGAAAACCTCGAGTTTTTATTGGTTTCCTACTCCTTTTAAACCCGGTACACACCAACAAGCATCAAGTCTGCAAAAATCTCGAGTTTTTATTGGTTTCCTACTCCTTTTAAACCCTAAACCCTAAACCCTTAAACCCTTAAACCCTTAAACCCTTAAACCCTTAAACCCCTAAACCCTAAACCCTAAACCCTAAACCCTAAACCCTAAACCCTAAACCCTAAACCCTAAGCCCTAAACCCTAAACCCTAAACCCTAAACCCTAAACCCTAAAATCACAAAATCAACCCCCCAACACCTGAAGACTACTCCCAATACTAAAAAACCTTGATTTTGATGATTTTTCCTCTGATCCTATACCCTCCCCCACAACCCCCCTTGAAGATTACCCTAAAACCCTAAACCCTGAACCCTGAACCCCAAACCCTTAACCATCTATGGGAAACCCCTAAGATTTATAGGAATGGGAACCCCTTACTAAACCCTAAACCCTAAACCCTAAACCCTAAACCCTAAACCCTAAACCCTAAACCCTAAACCCTGAACCCTCAACCCTAAACCCTAAACCCTAAACCCTATACAATGAAATCGTCCCCCGAGAAGACAAGAAACCGTCATACAATGAAATCGTCACCCCGAGAAGACACGAAACCGCCACTAAGCCTTATCCTCTCCTCTTCCTCTCCTCTCCCTCTCCTCTTCCTCTCCTCTCCTTACTACTCTCCCACCCAAAAATAAGTCCAAAATAAGTCTGGGTTCCTTGTAAAATGAGCTAATAAATCCTAAACCCGAAACCCGAAACCCTAAACCCTAAACCCGAAACCCTAAACCTAAACCTTAAGCCCGAAACCCTGAGCCAAGACAAAAACCTTGCCAGAAGCACCTCTCCTGAACTCAAAACCCTAAACCCTCTGGGGCACCAGGCTCTCGATCGTGGTCATGTTGTCATCTTCCTCAGCTGCACCCCCCCCTTCCCCCCGCTAAACCCTAAACCTCTTAACCCTGAAACCATCTTCCCTCTTGACCCCTAAACCTTAAGAACCCCTTAAACCTAAACCCTAAACCCAAAAATCTGGGTTTTATTGGTTTTCTACTCCTTTTAAACCCGGTACACACCAACAAGCATCAAGTCTGCGAAAACCTCGAGTTTTTATTGGTTTCCTACTCCTTTTAAACCCGGTACACACCAACAAGCATCAAGTCTGCAAAAATCTCGAGTTTTTATTGGTTTCCTACTCCTTTTAAACCCTAAACCCTAAACCCTAAACCCTAAACCCTAAACCCTAAACCCTAAACCCTAAACCCTAAACCCTAAACCCTAAACCCTAAACCCTAAACCCTAAACCTTTAGGGTTTAGGGTTTAGGGTTTAGGGTTTAGGTCCTTTTGCCTAGTCACGGCTACTTAAACCTCCTTTGTCTGCTCGGATGCTCAATTTACTTAAACTCCTTTTTGCCTGGCCACGAATATTCAAATTTCCTTAAACCTGGGAGCTCTTTTCAGCACTGGTAATTAATTTTGAGCTTTGGGAGCTAATTCTGAGCCTTGGGAGTTAACTTTGAAGGAGCTAGTTTTTTGCATTCTGGGAGCTAATTTTGAGCTCCGGGAGCTAATTTTGAGCTCCGGGAGCTAATTTTGGGCTTCGGGAATTAATTTTGAAGTTCGGGAGCTAATTTTAAGCTTTGGGAGCTAATTTTGAGCTCCGGGAGCTAATTTTGAGCTCCGGGAGTTAATTTTGAGCTCCCGGGACCTAATTTTGAGCTTTGGGAGGGAGCTAAAAATGAGCTCCGGGAGCTGAAAGGAGCTTTGGGAGCTAATTTTGCAGCAAATTTTGAGCTCCGGGAGCAAATTTTGAGGTTCGGGAGTTTCGGGAGCTAATTTTGAGCTCCGGGAGCTAATTTGAGTTCCGGGAGCTAGTTTTGAGCTTGGCGAGCCAATTTTGAGCTCCGGGAGCTATTTTTAAGCTCTGAGGGAGCTAAGTCTAAGAATTAATTTTGAGTTCCGCTTAGCTCCGGGAGCTAATTGAGCTTTGGGAGCTAATTTTGAGCTCCGGGAGCTAATTTTGAGCTCCGGGAGCTAATTTTGAGTTCCGGGAGCTAATTTTGAGCTGCGGGAGTTAATCCGGACTTAATTTTGAGCTTTGGGAGCTAATTTTGAGCTCCGGGAGCTAATTTTGGGCTTCGGGAATTAATTTTGAAGTTTGGGAGCTAATTTTGAGCTTTGGGACCTAATTTTGAGCTTTTGGGCTCCGGGAGTTAATTTTGACGAGCCAATTTTGAGCTCCGGGAGCTATTTTTAAGCTCTGGGAGTTAATTTTGAGCTCAGGGAGCTAATTTTGAGCTTTGGGAGCTAATTTTGAACCCTAAGAATTAATTTTGAGCTCCGGGAGTTGATTTTCAGCTTTGGGAGCTGATTTTAAGCTTAGCTCCGGGAGCTATTTTGAGCTTTGGGAGCTAATTTTGAGCTCCGGGAGCTAATTTTGAGCTCCTGGAGCTAATTTTGATTTGGGAGCAAATTTTGAGCTCTGAGCTTTGGGAGCTAATTTGGAGCTCCGGGAATTAGCTCCGGGAGCTAATTTTGAGCTCTGGAAGCTAATGGGAGCTAATTTTGGGACTGGGAGCTAATTTTGAGCTTTGGGAGCTAATTTTGAGCTTCGGGAGCTAATTTTGAGCTCCGGGAGCTACTTTCGAGCTCCGGAGCTAATTTTGAGCTCCGGGAGCTAATTTTGAGCTCTGGGAGCTAATTTTGAGCTCTGGGAGCTAATTTTGAGCTTTGGGAGCTAATTTTGAGCTCTGGGAGCTAGTTTTGAGCTCTGGGCCCGTCCTTCCGCCCTCCCAAAAATGAAAAATTAGTTCCAAAAAGCAACTTCCGCCCCCCCCCCCCACGCCGACCCTAAAATCTAAACTCTAAAAACAAAACTTTCGCTCAAAACTTATTGGGACCCAAACCCTATACAATTTCTATAAACCCTAAACCCTAAACCCTCAAGACAAAATAAATAGAAATTGTATGTGGTATCATTCTGAATTTTCAAATTATTTGTCTAAACAGCTGACAAGCTGAGTTTAAGTCCGAGGCCAAATGCTCAATTTACTTAAATCTCGCGCCCCCCCCCCTCCCCCCCCTCCTCCCCCCCCCCCCCCCCTCCCCCCCCCCCCCCCCTCCCTCCCCCCTCCCCCCCCCCCCTCCCCCTCCTCCCCCCTCCACCACCAGTTTTAAAAATCGAACGTTTCGTACGAAACTTTCGCACTGGAGCCCTAAAACACGTCATTTGCAAGCAAAAGGCACTGGAGCCCCTAAGAGGGTAAGGGTGAGGTCAAGGCGTGAGGGGGGGGGGGTGGGGGGGGGGCGGGGGGGGGGGGGGGGGGGGGCGGGGGGGGGGGGGGGTGGCGGGGGGCGTACGAAACGTTATTGGGACCCAAACCCTATACAATTTCTATAAACCCTAAACCCTAAACCCTAAACCCTCTGAATTTCCCAAGTTATTTGTCTGAGCCCTATGTGAACAGACATACCCCTCCGCTCATTCGCACTATCCATGAACAGGTCGTAATCGGGAGGCCTTTTTCGCTCGAGACAAAGAAGCGGGCGAGCAGATTGCATTAGTCTTTGTGGATTCAGAGGTTATGAGCCCGAGTGGCCAATAACTTTCCACCACTGCGCCATGGAAGATGGGAGCATGCGGCGAAGACTGGGCCAGAAGCCTAGTAATCCATCTGGAGCTGCGAACAACCAATCAGCAGATGATCAGTCGGAGCCCCGACCAAGAGTCCTGGATGATACTGCAGAAGAGACGACGACGCCTGATCAGCGAGGTGTTGCGAGAGCATCTGCGGGCAGAGTTTCTGGGAAAGGTCAGGGAGAGACGGCGGCGTCTGCGGATGAAGGTGAGTTGACAGCTGCAGAAGCCGCAGTGAATCCTTTTTGGTCTGAACGCGCCCAGGCGGAGGTCCAGCTGGCGCTAGCACGCCCCGACTTTCTGGGAGAGGTGACTGGACAGAACTCTGGTGGCCCATCTTCCACGTCCACGGAGATGAGGCCAGCAAATGAGACGCCGGAAGTGCCAGGGAGTGCGGTGGAAGCGCGCAGGGCTGTAGCAGAACACCCTGTGGGACCACCGGTTAGCTTGGGCCCGCCTGCTGCGGTAACAACCACTATTAGTGGACAAGCTGTTGCAGAAGAACCTCAGCCTGGCGAGCCTGGGTTGAGGCCGGGAGAGCGCCAGATTCTGACCGAGATGAAGGGTATCCTCGAGATGTTAGTGGCTCAAAACACTGAGCTGCGTGATCAGAATGAGAGCCTGCAATCTCGCCTGGAAAAGCTGGAGGAGGATCGTTCCGCTGCGTGGCGTTCGGTTGCCTCTGGGGGAGCTCAGGAAGGTGCGGACCAGACAGGGTTGGGATTAGAGGGTGTTGAGGGTCAGGGATTGAGTCAGTTGGGATTCTTTGTTCCCCCTGATAGACTTCCTGAGAGCCCCAACCAGTTTGAGTATACCCAAACTCCCTGCCCAACTGATCCGAAGGAAACGTATGAGTATCAACAAGGGTTTGAAGAAGGGTACCAGGCGGCCCGAGAGGCTTGGAGTGCGGAGAGAGAGGACCTGAATATGTCACCACCTTCTGTGCAGGATTGGAGGGTGCAATCAGAGATGGGACTGAAGGATAGTCGCTTGCGAGATCGAACTCCAGAACCATCTGTGAATCCAGAAGCTTGCGAAGGTAGGATCAACGTGACCCCGAAGGGAACCCCTGTTCCACCTAGTCCTCCGCCGCCTCCTCCTCCAGATAAGAATCGCCTCGAATCTCCATTTGAACTGCTGACAGCATCAAGTGCACATCTGGGCAAGTCAGGAGGCTTGTACGAGCGCGTTGTGGGACTGGATAGAAGGTCAGATTTGACTGGAATGTTTGAGGGTACGCCGGTTGCACCTAGCATAATTAGGGCCAGTCACTTAGGAGTAGGATTCAACGGGGTTACACCTTTGCAGGATACCGCCGTCCCGGGTTGGGAGAACACGGTTCCAGGGGGTAGACCTGATGCGCATGATGATCTCGTTGATCCGTGGCAAGGCCTTGACGTTGCCGGCCTGGGCGTAGGTCCTGGCAGGGACCCTTTTGTGCCAGGAGATCGGACGTATTGGAATCTGCCCATCTTGGAGGATCCTTCGCAACCGTCACCTGCGACGCGCGCGTCAGACTGGCTGGTACAGATCAGGCCGATGCTCTATGATCTTTCTGACATGTCCCAGTGCTGGTGGCAGAGAGTAGAGTTCGAGAGCCAGGTGTGGTACCAACGGTGGTGTCGGGCATCAGCTCTTGAGAGAGGGTTAATTGTGCCTAAGATGAGCTCCGAGCTAAGTCACATGCGTTTTCGGAGGCTGGAATCGAGGGCGTATGGGATGCTTCAGACGGCAGTGCCGGCTATCATCAGGGATGAGCTTCTAGCTTCAAGATCGTTGAATTGTGTGAGCCTTCTTTTCCAAATCCTCAAGGTGTATGCGCCGGGGGGCCTGCAGGAGCGAACTCAAATTCTTGGTGATCTTACCAATCTAGGAGTGGCTCGCAGTGCTTCGGAAGCGGTGCAAGCGCTGAGGGGCTGGAGCAGGACTTATGCGAGAGCTCGCACCATGGGTGTGTCAGTTCCTGACCCTGCGCTGGTCCTTCGTGGTTTGGACACGCATACGGAGGGACTGCTTCGGAAGGCAGTGCATTCACAGGTATCCTTTCGAGTGTCCACGGCCAGGAATCACTTGCGACTGGACCACAACCCCACCATGGGGGCGGTTATGGAGTTCTTGAAGGTTCTTCAGAGTGAGTGGGAACAGGTTTCGGTTTCTGGTCAGGACGAAGCCCCAAAGCCTCCAAGAGCTGCTCGGATGGAAGCGGGCGCAAAGGGGGACGGTAAGGGAGATAAGGGCAACGACGACAAAGGTGGGAATCAAAAGGGGAAGGACCGGGAAGGAAGGGGGAACAGTGGGGGTGGGAAATCTCCAGATGCCCAGCCCAAGGCAGGAGGTAAGGGTTGGAAGGGACCTTGCTCGTTCTACATGACGTCACAGGGTTGTAGTAAAGGTCGGGACTGCTCGCATTACCATGATTTCTCGGCGGCCAAAGGGCAGAGCCGATGCTACAACTGTGGTTCAGATCAACACAGGCAACAAGATTGCTCAAGACCGAAAGGTAAGGGGAAAGGCAAGCCTTTGGGGGAGTCCCGGAGCAATTCGACGTCGACTAGTGTCTCTAATAATTCCCCAGTCCCAAATCCAACTGCCTCCCATGAAACTGCCCCGAAACCTCCTGAGTCCACTGCCTCGGCGGGTGCCCAGAAGGCGGGAAACGCATCAAATGCAGCCGCGCCTCAGGGAGCTGTGGCTGGAGGGTCTTCTAGCGCACGATCGTCCCTCAATCAGGTGTCGCAAACGCAAGTCCTGGAAGAAGCTCAGAAGCTGCTGAAGTCACTACGGATTGCCGCGCTCAGGGTGGGTCCCGAATCCAGCGCAGAATCCACGGGGGAAGTGAATGATCAGGATGCACTAGGTCTGCACGTTCATGAGAAAGAGGGGAGAGGGTTAGTTGAGAGTGAGAGACAGAAGAGAGACATAGAACTTTTGGTTCTCGAAAGCGACAGTCCCAAGGTGACAGTGAGAAAGATCAAGGGGCCTACAGGGCTCCTAGATGGGGGAGCTACTCATGCTCTCCGAAGTGCTGGTCCGGGGGAGTGGAGCGTTGCCACTCCCACTAGGGTAGACCTTGCTGTAGGCTCGCAGGAATTGAGAATCTCATCGCTTGGAACTGTGCTATCACAACAGGCCATTGCTCCAATTTGCCCCCTCGGTGCCTTGGTTTCGGAGCTCGGGTGTAGGGTAAGATGGGATGCGGGCCAATGCACAATTCACCATCCGGTTCGAGGAGTTCTTGATACGGTGCTAGAGAATGGGTGTCCAACAGTGACCGAGGCGCTCTGCATTCAGCTCATTGGTGAGTTGGAACAGTGTCGGGCTCAAAAGATTCAAAAGGCTCTGAACTTGAGAGCTTTGAAGCTGGGTAGTCCTTGTGGGGAGTCCGAACAGCCGTGTGCGTGGGGATCAGAACTTGATGTCTTGAAAACACTCCGGGAGATTTGTCCTGAGGAGTCAGAGGGAGTGCTTGCCAGGGCTGTTCCGATCCAGTGTGGGGACTATCCTGTAGGGGCGAGTGTGTTCCTGGGTCTTAATCGGAGGGCTCGAAAGGCGATCCAACTCGCCAAGCATGTGGTACTGAATCTGTGTCCAGGCAAGCCCAAGGTGTCATGGCGAAATCTGTTTGGTGCGCAGACCGTGGTTCTCACTGTTGCTACGAGTCGCAGTCCAGGTGTGTTTGACGAACGTACATTCTCCTGGTTAGCTACTCTATGTGCGTCCGGGAAGGTTGCAGCAGTGGTAGGTAGCCAATCCAGGGTGGTGTCTAACTCCAGAGATGAGGGAGAGTGTCAAGGGGAAGTTGAGATCGCGCATGAGAATCAATTGATCCAGGTGCTGCGTACGTTGGTGTTGCACAGGCTTGCTGAGCGCAACCGTGAAGGAGGAAGTGTGTTGGTGTTGGAGGGCTCTGACAGGGCTAGGTTCTGGAACAAGTTGTCCTTGCCTGTGTGGAGCCACAACGAGCTTTCGGTGCAGCTGGAGACTCAGCGTATTGGTGAGATAGGGGGTAAGTGGTATATCGAGCTGAGTTCGAGCAAGCCTCATTCGGGGCTCTGGTGCCACGCAAATCGGCTCTCCTCACCAATAGCTGGGACTTGTTCACCCTCACACATGCGCGTGACGGTGAAGCGGGCTTCCGAGGAATCACACACCTTCGTGGTTGTCAGTCGTTCTGTGGAGTGGGTGCTGTAGATGAGCGTACGGATGGTGACCATGAGAATCACTCCGCCGATTGGTCGGACGAGTTGGTGAAGGTAGTGACTCGCTCACTTCAGCGATGGATCAGCGAGAGAGAAGAGAAAAGAGATGAGCGACAGAGAGAGGAGAGAGTGACGCTGAATGCCTTGACGAAGGAAGAAGTTGAGTTCAAGCGCCACTGTGAACAGGATCATGTGGTGTTCCGTAGAGACTGTAAGGTATGTCTTCAGGCGGCCATGCGGGGCCCAAGGCACTTCAGACAAAGGCATCGGCATGCAAACGCATTGACCTTGAACTTGGACCTGATTGGCCCTTGGGCGGCTGGAGATGACCATGCCGTAGCCGGACCGGTGCGCCACATCCTGGTAGCGACTCTTGGAGTCCCCATCCTCGAGGGTGGAAAGCCACTTCCTCTTGAACAAAGAGACGAGAGAGAGGAGAGAGAGAGAGAGAGAAGAAGCGATAGAAGATGACGGAAGAGGTGTGGGGCGCATTGATGCGGGGGAAGGGGAGCCAGAACTTGTGCTCGAGGACCCAGAGAGTAAGGAAGAGAGTGAAGAAGCAGAGTTGTCGCCAGACGAATACAAGGCGCTCTATGAAAAACAAGAAGCCAAGTGGCGAGAAATCGCCAAGGATCTTCAAGAGCCGGTTCAGATTCACGAAGTGCTGTTTGCTGAGCCTCTTCGGTCCAAGCGGTCCGAGGAAGTGCTCAGAGGTATTCAGCGCATCTACTCCAAAATCACTGTGATGAACCTTGCAGTACGTAGAACTCATAGCGATGGCGGTAGAGAGTTTACCAATCGCGGCTTCAAAGCCTGGTGTGCGTCTCGCGATATACACCCTACGTATTCCCCTCCTGGAGACCCAAAGGCCAATGGTAGGATCGAGAATGCGGTAGGACGCGTAAAATCTGGCGTCCGTGCATTGCTGCTCTCTGCTCCTGAACTCAAGAAAAGTTCATGGCCTTCGGCCCTTCGCCAGTTCGTGGAACAGAGGTTTCGAGAAAGCCTGGCAGTATTGGGGGCTGAAAAGCCCAAGCGGGCCCTGCCGCCTTTCGGAGCAAGGGTCATGGTACAAAGTAGGTCATGGAGTAAAAAGACGCCATACGCGCCGCGAGCAATAGAAGGCGTTGCTCTGTGCCCTGCTTCCAACATTACTGGCTGCACTGTTGTTCTGCTACCTGAGCAAGAAGGAGACAAGCAGCCAAGGTTTCATGTTGCGCCAGTGGCTTACACGGGAATAAAGGATCCAATCAAGTTTGATGCTGATGTCGGTGGTGATGAACCCCCTCTGCCTCCACCCAGTGATGCACCGGCTGTCAAACGGCGAGTTTCATCGAAGCGACCGGTTGTTGATGATCCTCATTTGCCTCCGCCCAGTGATCCGCCTGCTGTGAAACGGCGAGTTTCCTCAAAAAGACCGGTGGTTGCCCACGCTTGCGTGGGGGGGGAGTCGGAGTCGGAATCGGAGTCACAAGATGGTTTTGAGGGTGGTCGTGGTCAAAAGGAGGTGGTTTTGCTTAAAGCACCACTAAACAGCGCCGCCGAAAGCGCGCATCATGAGCATCAGCTGTCCCTTCGGCGGTCATCCAGCCCCAAGTCCACGAGCCCGCAGTCTCCCGGTTTGGGCCTTTCCAAACCGGGAACCAAGGTTTTGCTTAATGCACCACATAACAGCACGCGTCAGGAGCATCAGCTGTCCCCGGGGCGGTCCGCCAGGCCCTGGTCCAGCAGCCGCCCGTCTCCCGGTTTGGGCCCTTCCAAACCGGGAACCGCGGTTGGTGATGCTCTGGATGCTCGGGTTGATGTCTCTGCATGCCTTGTGCATCCAATGCCTCGTGAGAAAGAAGGAGAAGAAGAAGAGGAGAGCCGAGAAGAGTGCGTGACATGTCGTGTGTGTGAGGAACCTCTCGGTGAGCATGAGTCCATGAGGTGTAGTCTTTGTGGTCTGCGTGCGTCGGATAAGCTGTCAGTTCTAGAAAGCGAAGCTCGAGCTGAGCAACTTCTGCATGCTGCAACAGTGCTCCGAAGAGAAGACGTGGATCAGCTGATCGCCGATTCTTTGTGGAGATGGACTCCCAACACTCGGAAGGTTGATCAAAGTCTTCAGGGATCGGGGGCACTGGGTTTTACTTTGGGTTTCTATCGCCATGGGCCGAAGATAGGGGTCACCACGGAAACCCACCGAAGACCTTGGCTGACGCAAGTTGTCAATCGCTACATGCAGCAGGAAAGGGATCGCCTTGGAGAACCTGGGTGCTGGTGCTCGGTTCGCGTCACTAGTAACTTTACTTCGGAGATACATCGTGATAGGAACAAACCGGGTTCTTTGAACTTTGTGGTTCCGATCAGCAGGTTCGGGGGAGGGCGAATTTGGATCGAGGAAGAGTCGTCTAGCAATTCTGACGCACGTGAAGAGCCGATAGGTGGAGGTGTTGGACGGTATGTAGGCGGTGAGTTGCAACCAGTCTGGTTTGATGCATCCCGAAGACATGCCGTTGAAGCCTCGCAGGGAACCCGTAGAGTTCTGGTAGGATACACCCCCAAGGAACTTGGTAGGCTGCCCAATGACCTTAGAGACTTCCTTGTAGGGCTGTCTTTTCCTCTGCCCTCTCCTGAGTCCCAGCAACCTTCAGGAGAACGTTTGTTCGGAAACGCTGAACATGAAAGCCCAGACTTGCAGGAAGATGTGCTGTCTGCGTCAGAAGTCCATCAGTTGCGTTGTGAACATGCCATGCTTCGACATCTTTTGATTGAGCAACACAAGTGCTATGATGAAGAAGTGGCTATCGCTGCTAGTGAGGGCTGGACTGCTCCCAGTCTTCATTTGCATGACTTGTGTGCATGGATTGATGAGTGTGAGCAGGGGTTAGTGTGGCAAGACACATGTGATCTCCTGAAGAGTGGTGCTGTAGGGGACGCTGAAGCTACCGTCTTGGGTGCCAGGCTCGCGCGATTGGGGATTTCTTATGATTCCGATACTGTAGAAGAAGTCCCGTTGTGCAAGGAGGACTGGCCGGGAGACGTGAAGGAAGGTGAGGAAGTAGCGCCTGGAGCCTGGGGTGCTGAACCAGCACAACCTCTGCAGACCATATCTGTGTCGCATCAGGAGGTTCTGAAGAAGATTGAGGATTGGAAGGCTTCGATAGTTGATGAGCTGTCGAATGTTTTCGATGTGCATGAGGCCATGCGTAGAAGAGGCGAGGATGATCTTCAGGCTTGGAGGGATGCTGGGGAGCAGGTTGAAATCCTGCCCGCGAAGGCACTCTTCCACAAGAAAGGCGGATCAGGACGGCACAAATGCCGAGTCGTAGCTTGCGGAAACTTCTCTGAGAGTGCCAAGAAGAAGAGCCGCGACCAAAAACTTCAGTGTTATGCTGGTGGTGCAGACTCACTGAGCCTTCGCTGTCACCTTCGAGCGGCAGGTCATCGGGCATGTAGCCATGGATGGCGCACGTCGGGGGCGGACATCCGCACAGCATTCCTACTGGCGCCACTTCGGAGACAAAACAAGCGCATCGTCCTTCGTCCCCCGTCTGTCCTTGTGCAGGCGGGCTTTGCGGCCCCAGGGGAGTATTGGGAAATTACTGGCGCGCTGTACGGTCTGGCGGAAAGTCCTGCGGACTGGGCTACGTACAGGGACGAGACACTGCCCACCATTGACATCTGGCATGACAATCAGAAGATCAACTTGCAGAGATCAAGGTATGACCAGAACTTGTGGCTCCTCTACTGCCCAACCACTTCGAAGCTGATTGCAGCTCTGACGATTTACGTAGATGATCTTTTGCTGTCTGGTACCCCGGAGGCTTCCGAGGCAGTATGGGCTGCAATCAAGGCGAAGTGGAAGATCAGTGAGCCTGAGTATGCGGATCAGGGCAGAGCAGTCACCTTTTGTGGTTTTGAAATCAGGCAGGAGTCTGATGGAATCCATGTTGGGCAGGCAAAGTACATTCAGTCGCTGCTGGACAAGTACCCAGAGGTTCAAGGAACTACGAGCTGTCCCTATGCTCGCGAGAGCGAGGTAATCGAGTCGAAACCTCAGGACTCGATTGAGAAACTTCGACGAGCGCAAGCGCTCGTTGGAGAAACGTTGTGGCTTGCAACCCGTACACGGCCAGACTTGGCTTTTGGTGTGAGTCGTCTCGGGCAGCTCATCACGCGAGATGTTGATCAAGCTCTGCGCCGAGGAGAGGACATGCTCAAGTACTTGCGGGCTACCAAGGGCCAGGAGTTGATTTACGGAGAGCCTGGCAAGGGACATGGCACAGCAGATCAGCTTCCCGTCGAGAGAGAGACTTCAACCTTATTGAAGTGTTTGCGGACGCTAGCTTCTGTCCTGGTACCGACCGCAGTCAGAGTGGCGTTGTGCTGATGTGGGGCAATGCCCCTGTCGGTTGGATGTCGATGAGGCAGCCATGTGCCAGCCTGAGCACTGCCGAAGCAGAGCTTCAGTCATCCCTCGACGGTATGACTTTGGCAGAAGGCATTTATGGCTTGCTTGAAGAACTCGCAGAAGCTCCTCAACAAGCCTTTTTGTACAATGACAATGTCGGCACTTGCACAGTCATGACGCTTCCTCAAGGATCCTGGAGAACCAGACACTTACGTCTCAAAGCCGCTTGGTACATGGAACAACTGGAGCGTGCTAGATTTCGTGTTTACCACGTTCCAGGGCAGTTTATGCTTGGAGATTTGTGCACAAAAGCAATGCCAGGCGTCCGTACGCGGGAGCTGTTGCAAATGATGGGTGTGCAAGTCGAGCCATCAAAAGTTGATGGGGGGGAGTCGCCTTCATCGTCCTCAGTGTCTTCAGTGAAACCTGTGGTGCAGAAGGTTGTTGCTGGGTCCGGGGGAGAACGTCAAAACATAACTACCTGGTCCTCGGGGACCGGGGGAGCTCCCGATGCAGCGCGAGCCTTGCGTGTGTTGACCGTTGCTTCAGCGTTGCACTCTGTGACTGCGAAGTTGGTGCATGTGTCGGTGGATGTTGAAGATCAACAGTCCCAGGAGCTTGCCGAGCTGAAGAACGTCCTGCAGCTTGTGTGTGGCGTGTTGACAATCGTCGGCGTGATTGCGCTTGCGTGTTGGTGCCGTGGAGAATCCGACGAAGTCCCAAGGATCCAAGCGTTGAGCTTAAGGGTGAGGGACCATGATGATTCTGAGACCGCTGATGAAGGTGAGTGGTCAATGATTGACGAGCCGGAAAATGATGATTTGACTTCAGGTCTAGAGCCTGAAGGGACGACGACTGGACCGACGACCAGGGTTGGGTTGCGTAATCGGTTGAGTTCTAGGTCTTTGGCCATCCCGGCCCGTGAAGACCCTGACCCTAGGGGTTCCCGAGCCGATGCCTCAGAAGAAGAAGACAGAGGTTGGGTGGGTTCCCGGTCTTTGGCTGCCCCGGCCTCTGATGGTCCTAGTGGTTCCCGAGTTGAGACCCCAGAAGAAGACAGACGGTGGTTGGTTTCCGAGTCCTCGGCCCCTAGCGCCCCTAGTGGTTCCTCTGCCCCAAACCCTTGTGAAGGGAGGAGGTCGGAAGCTGGAGGTGGACTACCGGATCTGACTGGAAGAGGCTCCACTGGGAGCGGAGTTTTCGAAGTCCGCGGAGATGGACAAGTGCAAGGATTCCTCGCGGTACATGTTGATGATGCTGCTTACGTTGGCTCGGCCGCAGGCGCGCCGAGTGCTGAGCCTGCCGACGTTGAGGATGCTTCTGGTGGCTATGATGGCGCCGCTGAGAACATTCCTGGTGAGCGTAACATCGTTGACGCCTTGCAAGAGAATACCTTGGCGGAACATGTTCGAGGATACCAAGGGCGAGAGTCTGACCGTGACCGACTGGAAATCTATCCAGGATGGCCACTTCGTGCACCTCCTCGCTTTTCCTGGGACCCTATGCCCGAGTGGGGATCTTGGGAGTCGCTGTTCTACCAGAACATCCCTCCGACTGTGAGGCGAGATTTCTACTACCATGATCGCTTGAGAGGTGTGTTGGTGAGATTTCATGCCCAAGACAGAAAGCAGATGTTTGTTCCTTCACCTGGAGGGTTGCCTGAGTCTGTGAGCTGGGAAAGCTTGACGGGCCGTCGCAGAACTTTCCACCGAGGAGTTGCAACAAACACGATTGGGGTTCTGGAAGATGTGTGGAATGCTCCACATCCAAAGCCTGCTAGACAAGTCTCGACTGAGAAGTGGGTCGGACGAACTGAGCTTGAGTTGCGGAGACCGTGAAGAAGGATCCGCCGGTGGCGATGCCGGACTGAGGGATCCAAGTTTTGATGACCGTGATCTCTTGAAAAGGCCTTGAGCTGATTTAACCAATGCTTTAATCAATCTTTTCCCCTTGAGCTCCTTGAAGTGTGTACCATGGCGATGGAACACAGGGGGAGTGTGAACAGACATACCCCTCCGCTCATTCGCACTATCCATGAACAGGTCGTAATCGGGAGGCCTTTTTCGCTCGAGACAAAGAAGCGGGCGAGCAGATTGCATTAGTCTTTGTGGATTCAGACCCTAAATTCCTTTTGCCTAGTCACGGCTACGCAGTTTACTTAAACCTCCTTTGTCTGCTCGGATGCTCAATTTACTTAAACTCCTTTTTGCCTGGCCACGAATATTCAAATTTCCTTAAACCTGGGAGCTCTTTTCAGCACTGGTAATTAATTTTGAGCTTTGGGAGCTAATTCTGAGCCTTGGGAGTTAACTTTGAAGGAGCTAAGTTTTTGCATTCTGGGAGCTAATTTTGAGCTCCGGGAGCTAATTTTGGGCTTCGGGAATTAATTTTGAAGTTCGGGAGCTAATTTTAAACTTTGGGAGCTAATTTTGAGCTCCGGGAGCTAATTTTGAGCTCCGGGAGTTAATTGGTGGGGACAAGTCAAGAGAGTGTGCTTGTTGGTTTTGATCTCAGGCGTCTTGTGTGGCCCCCCTCCCCTTGTGGCAAGGCGTTGGCGAAGGCCCTTAAGACAGCGTGGGTCAGCTAAATGTGTACAGGTGTACATCCACTGCCTACCGGACCCTCAGCACTCTCTTTAGAACACTCAAGTGTGTAGTGTCTGGCATGGCGGTGGCGGAAGCCCTTAGGATGACATGAGTCGACTTGGCATGCACTGCATGTACAATGCTCTTGCAGCTGCTGTTGTATGCGTGTGATTTATTTTATTTTCTTTTGGGGTGGGTTCAGGGGGGTGGGGGGGCAGAGGGTTATGACAGTGGAGTGAGCCTTGCAGTCATGCATGGCATTTAATTGCAGCCCGAAGGGATGTCATCGAAGAGCTAGCCTCAAGGTGTTAGAGGGGGTGCGACGGGAAATGTCTACTAGGGAACGCAGCTGGCATGGTTTTAGCTCTCTTGGGCGGGGGGGGGCGAGGGGTCGGGTCTTCTTCAATCTGAGCAGCGTCCAGCCTTTCAAGCCTTCTCAGTCTGTCCGTGCCTTCATCCCGTGCTTGGTTCGCGGCCGGAGCACGGCTGGGCTGAGTTGCAGTCATGTAGCTACTCTGTGACAGCTCTTGCGTGCTTTCCATCCAAGGCACCTCGTTCTCCAAGTCGCGTTGGTCCTCTACAAGGAGTCTGGAGATGAATCCCGGGGACTGAGGACGCAGCAGACCCGTGTGGCGTATGCCCTGTGCCTGCGGTTCCTCTTCCGAACTTGAAATTTCCTGGGGGGGTTGTCGTTCATGTATCTCAAGTTGGGACGGGTATTCAAGGGAGGCAACTCTTGCTCTAGTTAGTGCGGCCGGGATGGAGAGCTGGGTGATCCCTGGCCTCACTATGTTGCGCTTGAACCTGTTCATTTGGGCTGGGGTCGGGAGTGTGAAACCTTGGGAGAGCAGTAGGGATTTAAGTTCAGTAGAGAAGGTCTTGACGTTGCGGGGGGTGAATGCTATGAGGATTAGGCGTCGTCTCCCTGTCCACGGCATAGGCCCGTGCAACAGTAAGTTGGATGTGAAAACTACAGGGCTAGGGAGGAGGGGGTAGGTGTTGCCTCGAACAGTTCTACCCTCGTGCTCTCTACTGATGGAACCTTCTGGGTGCTCAATCCAAAGATCTCCTCGTTCATGGTCTGTGAGGCCGATGATGATGGATGGTACACACGCATTTTGGGAATCCCTATGCAGCCCTTTCGTGGCACCTTCCCTTATGGTGATGCAACTAAAGGGGATGCCTGTGTGCAATCGTCTTACAAAGCTTGTCAAGGCCTGTGTGACGCACGGCGTGCCATACACATTGTGTAGGGGTGCTAGGGAGCTTCGATGGCTGGCGCCTGTGAGGAAGGTCCTCCCTCCCGTCGGCCCCTGTTTGCGTTGGCGGGGCATCGAGTCCCATAGTTCCACTATGTTTTCCCTGCACAGTGGTCCCGGCTCTCGGAGCATGTGGAATGCCCTCTCTTCCACCCTGTCCACCATATGCCTGTTTGAGACCCTCCCTTAAGGAGAGTAGAGGAGGCAGAGTGGGGATGACGGGGTAGCGGCACGTGTCCACAGCTGAGTTTAGGGTTTAGGGTTGAGGGTTGCTGAACCATTGATCCATTGACCCTACTCAGCCCCTGTAAACCTTGAGCTCCTCAGGTCTGTAAGGCAAAGCTCAAAGTGAAGCTCAACAGTCAAGCTCAATAGCCCGGAGCCCTGTATGTAAAGCTGTACCCATTTAAGGGGGTTATTCAGGACTAGGGCATCGATTGTTTGGAGGCATCCCAAATGAATCCTATGCGGAGATGGAGAGGCTGAATGGTGCGGGGATCTGATCTGGAAATTGTCTTGGTCACATATAGTTAAGGACTTGAGGAATATTGTGGGTTGAAACGGGGGAGGGAGAGGATAGCGTTGAGGTTCGAATCTGCTACGTGTGGGGAGGGGGAAAGGACTCGCTAGTTACTATGGTATCCCGATCAAGCAGCTCAAAGGTCTGAGGGGTTGTTAGTGTTTGTTTGTTGTTTTTTTTTGGGGGGGAGGGTTGTGGCACAACTTCGGACCTCCTTTTTGTCACTCATACAGCGAGCGTACTCCAAGCACGGCAGCCCCTGGTTGATTCGTGGCACTTGCATGGGTATAGGGATTAGCTAGGGGAATGGGAAAAGGAAATAGAGACTACTGAAGGGTTAGGTGCCACTGTCCTCCTGTTCCGACATATGCAGGTGAAAGCGTGGCAGATACCTGCTGGTGGCATTGGGTTGAGGTATGGAAACCTGAACCCTGTGAACAAACACGGTATCAGCTCACTCAAATAGACTAACTTGTCAGTCGCACCAGCTTACCGATGGCACATTGTGAATTCCGAATTTGTTCACAGTTCGAATTAATCCTAATTGCAGATGTAGGCATACGCAATTCCGAATTAGGTCCTGAATGTACGTGCAGGCTTGCACAGTCGCGGGCGCCGATATGTATTGTGTAAAACACAGCCCAAAAATGTTGTACCAAGATCTGTACGCTTAAGATACAGCTCGCCGTGCATCGATGCTGAACACGAAGGTACCCAGCTAGCCTTACTTTGATCCACGGGGTCGGGCAATCGAATTGGGTGGGTCGAATTAGTGAAACAGCCGTTCGTGCAATATCATTCGGGAGTTGGATCATAGTGGTATTGTTAAGGGTAGGAAGCAAAACAAAAATGAATTGCAGTGACGATATCTAATGCGAAACATACAGCCCGATAATATCTGCACTGATCCACATGCTTGAGGTACAACTCGCCGTGCACCGAATTGCGAAATTAATGCTGGATCATGGTGTTTTCAGTCCAAAAGAGCATGAAACAACACGAAAGTACCCAGCTACAGTACAGTGTATAAGAGAAACAAACTAGTTTTACTGTGATCCACGTGGTCTGGAAATCGAATTAGATGTCGGAGGAGGTTTGTGCAAATTTGGGGAATTTCTGCCAACAAGTAAACATGGGTGGGCAGGTCATGCACAGGAGGCCACTTACGGGCCCAAGTGCCGAGCCGTCTCACCTTGTTACATGGTGTGAAATGAAAGGATCAGAGACCTAGTCCAGCGAGGTAGGCGTGTAGCGGCCACTTACGAGCCCCACGCCTCTGTGCCTCTTTGGAACTTTGGAGGGTCCACAGGCTGAGCCAGCAGTTACTGTCCGGGTGCCGGCGTAAAAAATCAAGGGCCGCTCGGAGGGCCTCAGCCCTCTGGGCTGGAGTCATGGGCCCTTGTGGGGCCACTGGGCCTTGCTGGATCGGCGGGTACGGCTGGTTGACCAGCGGGGCCAACCGTATTGGCCGGATGCCTGGCAGGCCTCCCGGTGTAGGTGCTGACGTCATCATATCGGCAATGCGGGGGTCAGGCGTCGGGGAGGGGTACTGACCCGGTGTTCTCACCTGGCGAACTGCCATGCGGTCGAGCATCTCTTTGAGAACATCGAAAATGGCGTCCCATTTCTGCTCATTGGCTGAGGTCTGACTTTCCTGCCTACCCAGTCGACCGAGCATCTCCTTGAGAACGTCGTGGATGGAGTCCCACTTCTGCTCACGGGCTAGCGTTTGGCTTTCCTGCCGGCCCAACTTGCCCGTCAGGTTCACCAGGCTGGTCTCCAGGCCATCCACCCTTTCGGTTAGGTCTCCCATGACGTCTTTGATTTCCGCGAGGAGGAATCCAAACTTGTTCATGTCCTCCACATGCTTGACCTGCCACCCCCGCGGTTCTTGGGCATCTGTTCGATGGAGGATGCTGTCTAGGGACTCCTTCATGCCCTTCATGTAGGAGTGGTTGCCCTTGACCTGCGAGTTGAGGGTGCCGTACGACGATGCCGCCTCCGAACTGATTTTGTCTACACCTTGGGACACTCGGCTGTTCAAGAGCTTGATGTCCGCCTGGAGCTGGAGGTGTTGGTCCTGCATAGAATGTAGTGCCTGGCTCAGTTTGGCGATCTCGTCCTGGCACTCCTTGATCGAGGGGCTTGACGCACTCCCTGTCGAGGCAGATTGAAGAGGCTGAACAAGTTGTTTGATTTCCTGGGCAGCCAGCTGCATTGCCGCCACTAGTTTGATGCGCACCTCCTCAATCTGAGCCTTGACAGCTTCGAACTTAGCGGTAAGGTCCTGCTGGCCAGCGATTTGCTTCGTCACCTCCTGGAGGCCTTGCTTGATGTCAGCCAGGATTTTGTTCTTCACACTCTCGGTCAATGCCGAGAATTTGGTCTTGAGCTCCGCATCCTGGAACTGCTGCTTGATCTCAGACAGGAGGTGGTTTTTGAAGCCCTCGAGCTGGGTGGTCATGGCCGAGAGCGAGGCTTTGAAGTCCGCGTCCTGGAAGGTGTGGAGGAGATTTGTGAGGAGGGTCTTCACATTCTCAGTCTTGTCCAGGATGGGGTCCATGTACTTGTCAGCCATGGACAAGGTCAGATCATGGAGCGGAATGAGGTAGTCCCGGAGGATTCGTCCAGGTTGCGTCTCGTCCTGCGGTGCTGTCGGAGCATCACGGGACCTGGCGCGCTGGGCATCCCGGCCACGCTTGTACCACGAGGCAAGGGCATCGACACAGCCCGAAAGCCCGGTACCCAGCTTCATCACAGCCCAGCTGATCATGCCGAAGGTGCCATATGCCAGTTTGATGACGAAGGGGAGGAGCAATGTGGCGATCACACCGACAATGACCGGGACAAGCGTCTTCATCCCCTGCATCTGGTCAAAGGCCTCTTTCCATGACATCTGTTCCGGTTGAGAGGCCATGGCAAATGCGGCGCACACAAGCGAAGAAATCACTGAGGGGTTAGGTCACCTGTGATCTATATGGGCTATGGGACAGCGGATTGCATTTTGTGGCAGGTGGGGTTCAGGGGCTTCGAGAACGAAGGTGAGCTGGGTGAGGGTGGGAATAGGGGGTACCTTTACAATTGCAAGATTTTTTGGGCGGTCCCGCCCCCCCCCCCCCCCCCGGTTTTTTTTGAGTTTATTGAAGTAGAAGTGGTTAATGCGTAGACAGGACAAGAACAATGGGGGGGGTGTGGGGAATCAAGAGGGCAAGGTTACTGGGGAGGTCAGGGAGGAAGGCCGCCTATCGCCTACCAAAGCCAGACAGGACACGTGATACTGCTGTCCTCAAAGTACGAGATCCCATAGTCTCGTCTGCGAATGATCATGCGCGTGTGTGGCAACAGCACCGCCTGTTTAGCACATTCATCTGCAAGTTCATTTAGGGGCTCACCTTGGTGGGCACGAACGTGTTTAACCGAAGTATACGACGAGACCTCCTCCCACAGTAAAAGAAGTGACGATGTGTCTGAGGCATGCACAACCGAGCGTATGGCCCCCTGTAGGAGCTGGAGCACGTGTTGGGAGTCTGACATGAAAAGAAAAGTTCCCAAAGGAACGTATTCTTTGAGTCTTTTGATGGCCTGTAGACCCTTGCACGCCGCGACTAGCTCAGCTCGGATGTTCGTGCATCTACCCGGAATGGCTTGTTGTATGACGACTGCATCGGCTTCGATGTCCCCGTAGGGGGGGAGCAGCACTGCTGCAGCACCACCCTGGCCTCTCATACAGCTGCCGTCTGTGGATACACGTATGGCATATTCCACATCTTCTGGGGTCATTTCAGGGTGTTCAATGAATGCCGTCGCGTACGGGGGGTCAACCGGAGGGTGCCTAAGGGGGAGGAGATGAAAGTCATCTCCCACTTTACTAAGTGCCCTGCCCCTGAGGTCTACGTCCGCAAGGATTGGGTAGAATTCAGGGGTGATGGCTTTCCCCCGCAGATACTCCTGAGTAAATTGTTTCCAGAGCGTCCTGTCCTGAGCCGCTCCTTCCCAAGTTATTGGCTGCCACGTCTTACGGTGTCCCTGCCAAGCCAGGCCGAGGAAACGGCTGCAGTTAGGCCAAAATCCACGCGCTCTGCGTGTTTGAGTGACGTTTAGAAGTTGCCAGGATGAGCCCCTGACATTTAGCGCCTTCGAGATCGGTCGAACCTGTGGGTTCGGGAGCCTGGCAGCGTGTCCCCAGTAGGCAAAGAAGCCCTGGGCTTGTATGTGTGTCCATGTTTCGTGTCCTGAGGCCTGTGCTGCCATTCTGGCCGCTCTTCTTACGCATACCCAGCTATCTGTGGCTGCCTGAAGAGAATCACGTGGAAACTTGCAGACCCAAACCAAAAAGTTGGTCTGGGTAACCTTCAGGGCTTGAAGGACAGCCGTTGTAGGTCTGACTGCGGCTGACATCCAACGCCACCTACTCGTCACAAACGTTGACATAAGGTGAAGCCTTTTTCGGAGTGGAGCTGAGCATTGCGTGAGGAAAGAGAGATAGCCAAAAAAAGCATTCGTCGCTGTACTAGTCGGGCCGCCAAGACTGCCTGGCATGTCAATTTGAAACCAAGGAGCACACCTAGGTATAGGAAGGTCTCCACTTCCTCAACGGGGGTCCTTCTCCAATTTGAACTAGGCCTGGTCTTACTTGCGGAGACCGCAGATACTTGCACTTATCCCACGAAAGATGCAGTCCTATAGCTTTGAGGGTTTGTGAAAGATCCTCTAGCATACGATTGAGCTGCGGAATGGAAGTAGCAAAAAGCAGAATGTCATCAGCGTACTCCATACAGTGGAGTGGCAAATCCCCAACCGTATTACTGAGCCATGTGCGTTCACAACGTTGCCACTTTTGCAGGATAGGCCACAGGTAGAAATCCATGACAACAGTTCCGCCCCGTAAGGGGTGCCCTGGAGGATGCCGCGGGTGAGCGGCTGGAACCAGGTCGCATCAGCAAAACCAATCTCAACCTTGGCTTGCGTAACGAGCCTCAGCAGAAGTTGAGATTCAGGCGTTGCTGGGACGGACGCTAGGCATCTAGCCACAGCCGTATGTGACAAAGTGTCGAAGGCCTGTGAGATGTCTAGCTTAGCTACCACTAGTGGCATGGACCACTCTGCAGAAAGGTGTACTGCATGTTTAGCTGCGGTGATGCCATCCATGACCTGGGCTCCTTGGATACCAAGGATTTGTCCTCCCCTGCCAACGGGGGGGAGGGTGCGCCTCAGTCGGGTGAGAAGAGTTTTTGTGAAGACTTTGTAGTCCGCTGCTGACAGAACGATTGGTCTCAAGTGTTTCGGAAGGAATGGCTCCCTTATTTTGGGTAAAAGGGTAAGGCGTGAGAGGAGCCACGTTTCCGGCGGAGGGGATTCCTGCGAGAGGTACGAGTTGAAGGTCCTGAGCAGGTGCGCTGACACCTTTGTCTGTGCAAGGATCTTCAAAAGTTCATACGTGACACCGTCCGCTCCAGCACTTTTCCCTACCTTGAGGCTGTTCAGGGCTGTCTCTAGCTCTTCCTGGTCTATGGGGCGCACAGTGGGATTACACTAGCAGCTTGTAGTATGGCCTTTGGCAGTAATGGGTCGTGACCTTCTGGGTCGCTGAACTTGATCTGATAGAAATGCTTGAGGGCCGAGATCGCTTTGTCCTTGCCGCCCATGCGGAGTGCAAATAGGCCATGTGTGGTCCTAACCGCCTGGCGTTTTCGGAAGTATGAGATAGCTTTATAATCTCCTGCTGCCGCCCTTTCCAAGAGCTCAGTTTTCCACGCACGCTTGTCAGCAGCTCGCTGCTGAACTACCTGCTTTGCTAGGTCCTTAGCAGTTTGAGGATCTGAGAGCTTGCGAAGGGCGATGAGTTGCTTAATCTCCATGGAATCCTGATATCTGCAGGGTTTGGGTCGTCGAGAGCATGCGTTGGCTAGGGTCTCCAAATCCTCAGGTAGCACGATTGTGTGCTCCTTTTCAAGTCTGTCAGCCAAGTTGTTACAAGCTAGGAGTGCTGCCGTGACATCAACATCCCACACGCCGCACTTGTTCGTTCTGGTGTGTCGCCGTCGTTTGGCGGCTTTATGCGATGCAGTGCTAGCCCAGACTAGCCTATGGTCCGATCTTAAGATCGCATCTGAGGGCGTGACGACTCCCTGGTCCAGGGTCTCTTGGTAGGGCGTCGAGAAGAGGAGATAGTCTATCCTACTGTGCGAGCCTCTCGTGTTTGACCATGTATGCGCATGAGGCATAGTATGAGATACGCCAAAGGACTTGACGAAGTGCTGAAGCATGGCGCCTCTTGCATCCTGAGCATCGGGCTGGACATGCTGAGTTCGTAATTAAGGTCGCATGCAAGGAAAAGGGAATCCTGAAGCCTGTAGTCATGCAAAAGGTCATGCAGAGTCGAAAGCTGGTGATGCCAAACATGCGTGCAGTCTCCCCGCTGAACGTGCGGAAAGTGAAGTGATGCAACGAATTCACGGGCTCCCGCATGTTTTAGGATTACCATGAGCCCTGTGGAAAGCGGCTGCGCTTTAATTACATCACAGAGTCTGTGCGAAGGGATGCCTACTGCAGACCCTCGGAATGAGTCCGGGGGCGAGGTACAAAAGAAAGCGTATTCTTTGCCGGCCAAGGTGCATTCTTTGAGACACCAGCTGTCTGGTCCTACGTCAGACAGAGAGCCTACTTCCTGAAGCCCCAGGAAGTCAAAATGTGCTACATCAAGTACTCAAGTACATCCCAAGCCGCCTGGAGAGATTCGAGGGACTTCCCCTGAATATTCCAAGACGCCAGGGTCGTTGGGTGCGGAGGCGTGTGGTCGAAAGCTAGTCACTCTCGAGACCTTCCCCGGCACTCAAGCCAGAGCTGTGGAAGCTGGTCCGGCGAGTAGCCCGTGGCCTCTGAGAACGAGTCGCAGAAACTGCCCATCCTGTATGACCTCCTCTAGCGTCCGTGAGTTGAACATCTGCGGGGTGGGCATGACGAGCGTTGGGGGTGTGAGGGGATATCAAAACCTGCGAGGACCCGACGTACACATTCCCACGCCAATCGAATTCGGAGCGGGGATGAGGTGTGGCTGGGGTATGCGGGGGCAACTGATCACAAAAATCCTTTGTTTGCAGTATCGCGCGTATTTTATGCCTTTCTTGTGGAGACCTGTGCCTGGCAATCCACAAGACGGTATTTTCACTGCCAGCAATGCTACTCTTCCATTTGTCTTTGCGTAGCTTCTGTAGAGCTTCCATCTGGAAGGATCGCTGTTGCGGGAGGGAGACACAATCTGTTGGGAATTTCAGGGCAACTCGGAGGAAATTCGTTCTTGCGAAAGGGGACCAGGTGGATTCAATGCAGTTCTTAAGATCTGACATCTGAAAAAGAGACTTCACTTCCTTCTCTGCCAAATGTTTGGGGGCTTGTTTCCAGCCACCCACGACCAGCTGCAGGTCCATCTCGCTATCCCTTAAGGAGCCTGAAATTCTTGGTGTGCCTGAGCCCCTTGGAGTGCCCCCCTGTCTTACTTGTTGCTGAAGCTCTCGGACTCGCTGCTCGAGTTCTTTGAGTTCTTGGATCTGCGCCTCCAGGTCCCTGAATTGAGCTTGCGTGGCAAAGTCTTGCGCCTGGGTTTCTAGGGCATCTAGGCGAGCAATGGATACTTCATGAAGGGAGTTGTGCTGTTGGAGGGTGTCCTGCATGACGTCCAGCCTATGGGCATGCTGCTGCATTTCGGTACCAAGCGCACCTAGATCTTGTCTCATCCTCCCTACCGTGTGTTGCAGTTCATCTTGCTTACCGAGCATGCCCTGCATACTTTGTTGCAGGGCCTGGACCCATGGGGGGGGAACAGCCTCTCCCAGGAGGGCTTTCCCAGCGGGCGAGGGAGGTTGTCCAGGGCGTCCTCATCATGGCGTGCAAGATCATGGTAAACCGTAAGAGCTTGTC